TATATATATAATTAAATGTCAGTACAGCCACATGTAACAAAATTGCGTTTTTGTCTGTGCATGAGAGAAGGCTTCTTGTCATCATGCTGCGGGACTCTGTTCAAACTGTAGCGGGGCTCCCTGCGCTGCTTCACCGCATTCTCCCAAGGCTCCCGAGCTACACCCGCTAAACGTGCATTGACCAACACTTAGATAATAAATAAAGTTCCCTACGTTTTACTACGAACCGACATTTCTTTAAATCGCTATTCAAGCATTAAACAAAAAATAAAAAATAAAAAACGAGCTGCTTAGCGCAAGGCGGCAGTAGCTAACAAACCGAGCTAGCTCGCTAGCATGCCCCAGACAAAAGCCTGAATGAAGTTCCTGTGCGGGTCTAGACACCATCCAGGTGCCGCTTCGCTTCACCGCTGCGTTTCAAACAGCACGTCGTATCGTTTTAGAAAATAAGCTGACAACCGAAACCAGTCAACAGCACTAGGTATATATGCTTACCCCTCCTGGTCCAGCTTTACTTTTCTGCTGTGGTCTGTTTGAATGGGGTGTTGTTGTAAAGGAGGGCGTCCTGTTCCGGGGTCACATCCCTCCAGTCGGCAGAGCTCCGGCGGACTGACAACGCAGACACTCCGCTGCTGTCGCCTCAGTACCGCTGCTGGCCGCTGGGGGCGCTACCGACTGAACAAACAGTGGACGGTCACTGAACGCACCACTGCATCGTGCCAAACAAATTAATGTCAAACCTTTTTGTGTGGGATATTATTGAGTTATTTATTCAGCTAGAATTTCTTAAGCTGGAAAAATAATTTACTTAAAAAAGAAAAAAATCTTCATTTTAGCCATTTTTTAAATAGAAACTAAAACTAGTGAACATTGATTGCACAAGACTTTATGCAATCATTAATAAATGTGTAATTGTAATTGTAACAGATCAAACCAATTAAATACAGAATATTTGGGAAAATAATAACAACCTTGAGGTTCTAGCCTTCATGTTTACTCTGCAACGAACAGGAAGAAGATCAAATTAACAAATGGCTGGGATTATAAAAGTCTTGGAGGTTGCAAACTGTTTTATTAAGACTGTTTCCCTTCCAGAAGCGAGTGAAGCAAAGGCAAAAACAGGATGCAGATAAATGACAGAAACATGTCAAACTTACAATGTTAGCAAAATAACCATATTGCTTTAGCTGCACGTGTAAACCGGCTTCAATAGACTTGCACCATTTGACAGATCACATTCAAGCAGTTTTATGAGACAATCTTACGACAAAAAGTACAACTCAACTGTAATTCTGTAAAGTGTAGCTCCTTTAGAAGGACAGTGATGTTTGTTGGAATTCCTCAGTGAATGTTTCATTAGTTTAAGTCTTGAAAACTGTGCTGTTATCTAATCTACAGATCCACTTGCTCTTTTTACGACCCCATTGCACAGACTCATATAATGAGTACAGACCATTTTAACTGTAAAGCTAAAAAGAGAGAGAGACAAGCAGATCATTAAAGACAAACAGCTAAATATACATCCATCCGTTTTCTTTACCCGCTTCTTCTTTCCAGGTTACCATGAGCTGATGGCTATTTCCTGCAGTCTCTGTGTGAGAGGCGGGGGGACACCCTGGACAAGTTGCAAGTCCATCAGAGGGACATACAGAGACACGTCCTCACTCACACCTATAGAGACAATTTAGAGTTTCCAGTTAACCTAAAATGCTTGTTTTTGGTCTGTAGGAGGCAACCAGAGTACAGCAAAACATACTGCATGTAAAACAAATCAAATAAAATGTACAAGACATGAGCTTAATATAGCTGTCGTGGCACCTGGCATGTAAAAAAAACACAAGGCAAATTACAGTGCAAAACTTAAACATTCCAACACACACATTGTCCAGACCAACGCTTTCAAAACAGTCATTCGTGACTTATATTTCCTTTTCTAAAAATGGCTTTTATGGATTGTTACATCTGTTTCCCCCTGCAAATAGTGGTATTTGTTATAATTAAAGAAGTAGATAAGGCATTTTTAAGGTCATAAAGGAAAACAAAATGCCCTCAAAGTGAGAGTTTAATGTAAAGTTAAAGCAAGGAGAGTTTGCTTAGCTTGGCAACAAACAGAGAGAGACAGAGGATGAGGTAAACTGTGATCCTGGGTATGTTTTTGACTACAAGCAGCCCTCAACTTCAACATAGGATATTTAGAGACAGCTTGTTTTTCATTTAAGCAGGACATTGTTATGTAGCTCACCCATTTCTAGTATTTATACTAAGCTACATAGTTGGATCCTTAACAGACGAGACAATAGCATTAAATCTTAGTAAAGCAATAAGAGAGAGCTGACATTACACCTTAAATGCCCATTAGGTGTTTCGTAAGAGTCTACTGTGCCTACTGAGGCAGGTTAATCAAAGTAATAGTCTGCACTTCTCCAGCCATCAATCAATTCAKTTTCTTTACCCGCTTTTTCCTTCACGTTTTGCGGGGGAGTCTATACCTACCTCAGGCAGTCATTGGGGCCTCTGAGCTTCTCATCTTACAATAAATCTTAAATACCTCATGTGTAATCTAGAGTCTGGACAGTAAGTATTTCAATACCAAAATCACACTACAGTAAAAAAAAAAAAAAAAAAAAAAAANAAACAGCACAGTTATAAAAATAAACAACATTCTGGCTTTTGCAAGATCATCAATTTCATCAAATTAAATAAAACAAACAACAATATAACAGGAGACACTAATGCAAAAAGGCATTTTAARTGAGAGGGAGTGACAGAGCCATCGAGGACGGTAAAGCGCCAGAAAGTCTTGAGGCGAAACTGCCACTGTGCCATCATACTCTGAGTCTGTCTAAAGTCATCTCACAGTTTGCAGCTTCCTCTCTGCTGAGTAATGCAGTCGGCCAGATAAACTTTCTGTTTCAGTGATTCACTTCGCACGATGGCTTTCAAGTAGCAACAGACGATTCAAAAATACATTTGTGGCCTGGTTTGACACGTCCCCATGGCAAATGCAGTCCGTTTGCAGATGGGAGAAAGATCCTTCACGGTGAAAATGGTCGAGTTGAAATGAGAAATGATCATCTCAGTGTCTCTAAATGTCTCTGTTTAGTTGTCATGAACCACAGATGAGCCAGTGATATGTAAACATTTACTGAGGTTCATCTTCAAGTGTCATTTCCCATATAAAATGCTTAGACTTTATACTTTCTTTACATAAGTTAAAAATAATCTTTTTTGGCAGGTTTTATTGATTCATTGCTCTTCACGGTCTGTTATCTTTGGCCAAGGAGTGCATCATCCAGTTGACCTTCGTCTTCCAGCTCTCCCTCAAAGCTTCGTTGAACTTCACTTTGAAATTCTTCAGCGCTTCGTCCTCTGATTTGCCCAGAGCTAAGGAATCCTTTAGAAAAAAAAAGAAAAAAAATATTTGTAATGGTCTTTATTATGACCCGTATTATTATTCTAAGCATCAACACCACTGTCATTATTATTGAGTACCTTAAGATACTGGATATCTTTGGAGGAGGTGAGCTCTGGCAGTCCTGCAGCCTTCATCATAGCAAAAAGGTTGACAAACAGCATCCCGTTCCTGCACAGGATCTTATAAGCCCTCTCACAGTATTCCCTGAACCTGACAAAGAAAATAAAAAATAAAAGGCACAGGTGAGTGTCAGATCGGGACATCTCCAGGAAGGGTAAAAGCTGGATGAGAACCTTCAATAACCAAAATCAAAAACTATGCTCAGGCTATTTGAAAAAATAAAATAAAATAAAAAAAAAAGCTGGTGTGATTTAGGTAAATCACCTTCTGATAAAAGTCTATGTTTTAGTCTATTCTATAGTTTATTTTTAATAGTCATCAAATATCAGTTTTATACCTTTCAAACTTCTCACTGTTGTTTGTCCTCCCCTGCTGGATCACATGAACAAAGTCGTACGTCAAGATAAAAGGCACGCGCTCTCTGTTTATCCCAAGTTTCCGCTTGAAGTTGCCCAGGAAGTGTCCAAAGTCGATATGGAACAGCTATAAAAATAAAATAAAAAAAAGGTTAAATGACTGTTGAAGGTTTGACTCACTGATCCAAGTTACCTCGCACAAACAAGTCACCTCAAATACTTCACGTTGCGACAATGACAAAACGAATCAAAAGGATAATGTTTCGAGTTAACAGTAACATAAAAACAGAAGCACACGTGCACTCAGCTGTGTGATGAACCTCACCTGTCCCGTTTCCCTGATCATGATATTGTCGTTGTGGCGGTCTCCAATTCCCAAAACATAAGTAGCTACACAGTAGCCAGCACAGGAAAGTGTGAACTCCTCTATTGCTTGATCAAGTTTGTCCCTGGTGATAAAAAAAAGCAGAACATGAGTGCATTTTCTTGTTACAACACATTTCCATTTCTTTTATCCTGATTCCAGGCTATAAACAAACTCAGCCTTGAGGCAAACTGTACTCCCTGCTGCAGTAAACTGTAAAATATTCACAGAGGAGTTCCTGCAGCAGATCGATGATTGACGGTCACATTCGTTCAGTCTAGACGAGCACGGGGGGCTCCGTGTTTTAAGCTTTTACTAATTTTCTCTGCAACCGTCTCAGGCTCTGCAGCATTTCAAGCTATTTACCTTTCTGTTCTGTTGTGCAGTCAGCTGGGCCTGCGTTGCCAACGTGATACACAAAGGCTTATTCATTACATTCTTCGAGAAGCTTTCAGAATATACGAGACCTTCAGACTGTTTGGCACCAAATAAGAACCTACTCTCATTTAATGCTGCTGGAAGGTGCCTGCACACTTTTTTTTTTGGTCTGTCGCAGTATTAAAATGCTGCACAGAAAACGATCTTCAAACAACCTGAACCACACAAGGACATTCAGGGAGAATTTATTAAAATGTAAAACTACTCCACTGCTCAGACTGCATTCTTTATCTGCCTGTTCCTATCAAAACAAAGGGCTCATAAAGGTAAAATATCTCAAAAATCAAGTCAGAAACGCATTTCTGTGAACAGGTTATGAATAAACAATATCTTACCTGTTGTTGGTACTCTTCAAATTACTTTAGTTTAAATTAAAGTTTGTTTGTGATCAAATTAACAAGCTAACTGCGAGTCTGAGAATAGAATAGAATAGAATAGAATAGAATAGAATAGCCTTTATTGTCCCGCCGAGGGGAAATTCAGGTGTCACAGCAGCATCCATGCTGTTCACACACTAGTTACTTTACAAACTATAGACAGTACACAAAAAACGAAATTAACACTGACTAGCCATGATACGACTACTACTAATAAAAATTTAATATAAAGAATTGTGCAAGAATTTAAAAAATGATATGTTTTGTTTTAGAGACAGTAGATTATCAGAATCTGATATTAGGAATCAGAATTTACCTATTTTCAGTGCAAAATAATCTCAGCAGACTATTAACTGTAAAGTATCAAAGTATCAAAGGCAAAGTGGATTGATTTGGTCCTTAAACAACTTCTACCTCAGATGTTTTGCAATGATTTATGAAAACAATATTTTGTGAACTTTTACACTGCTGCCAGTTTCACATTAAAATACCGTTCTGGCAGAAAAAACTTTGATATTTCTTTCTCATCTGCTACAGGCTGGAATAAAAGAGCTACAGCTAGCTGCTGCTATTAATTAGGCTAACAAAAATGTCACAACATTATATGTAAATAAATGTATAAGACAGAACTGACATCAATGTACAGATTTAGAAAATAGTGTTAAATCATCTGATGTGACTTTTTTTTAAATTTAGAGTTACTTTGGACAGCAGCAGTCAGTGCTGGACTTGGCCTAATTCGAACTAACTGTTAGCTAGTCAGCCTGGTCAGAATTAAGCTCTTTTTCTCAAAAATGAAGTTTTTCAAAAATCTATCTACAGCAGGTAAGATATTATTTGTTTATAACCTGTCAAAAACACACTGAAGTATTGTTTTAATTAAAGCCTCTGGAATTACATTAAGTGTCCTCTGACACAGAACAACAATTGTTAAAACTGATGAATGACTGAGTTACTGTTGGACTGTGTGATTTTATGCTTATATGTGAAAAGAGCCGAACTATCCCTTGAATCTTAAGTGCACCAGACCCCAAAGGGCCTGCTGATGTTTGGATGCTGGACAGCACAGGAAATGCTGTGCGAGCACAAGGTTTAGTTTCCATGACTCAGCAGGGAAGAGCTATTTTTAGCAAGCGACACCCCAACAAATCTAGACTAGTGGTTTCAGTTGTTTTAAACATAGCATTTAACTTTTAAAAATATGTGATAAACAACAAAAACAGCACATCTTGTTTTATTTTGAACCTTTTCAGCCGTCTGTTGTGAAATCCAATGCAAAGCAAAACATCGCTGGGCTACCATTGCCTAATGTGTTGAAGGGAAATTCAAATACGACTTCAGAATGTCAATATAAAGATAGATGTACAATAATTATAAATATATTATAATTATGTACAATACATATATTTTAAAGATTGCATCACAAAACACAAGAAAAAAATCATTTTGCCTCGTTAACCTTTATGATGATAAGCTGAGATGGGTTACTTTCACATCTAAAACTGGGCTATTCAGGAGCACTGGGGGATGCCCCTATGATAAACAAGAGCAATATGCTAAAGAAAAAAATCCTACATGGGTGGATTTTCTTAACCCCAGTGCCACAATATATCCTCCCACATATCCTAAAATAGTGTTTTGGTAACAATACATTAGTCCCTGTGGTTGTTGTCTTGGGATTAAAAAGAACTATGAGTTTCAGAGAGATCAATGCATTATTTGAATTATTTAAAATGGCATTTTTAAGCTTCTGTTCAGCCAGAGTTCATCCCACTCACCCAGGATTCTTAGATTTGAGCCAGTTGAGCAAGGCGTCCTTGTTGAAAGCCGCAGTAGCTGCACTGTTGCTGTTGTTTCGCTGGATGTTGGCGATGGTGTCAGAGTTTTTCACTACTTCAATGAGCCCCATTTTGTTCCCGGTGGACAGGCAGCCATACGGGATCATCCTGAGAGTGCAGGGTGAAGTCAGCTTGTGCAGAACCTCTCCATGCTTGACGTGATGCAAAAACCAGATCCTACCTCAGATCCAGGCCTTCTTTCTTCCACAGATTCTCCATCAGTTGGATCATCTGCAGGGTCAACATGTCCTGACGAAGGTCTGAAATAAAAAAAGCACATTTTAATGTCCAGTCATGTAACTCTAACCCACCTGTGGTCCCATCTTATGCAAAACCAAAACCACTGTTTACTGTATGAGTTGACACTGGGAGAGCTGCATGTGTTTTTGTTTCTCACCGTCTCCATTTTTGAAGATGATTCCCACCATGTCTCCTTGTTCTGTGGGGTTATTATAGATCAACCAGAGCGGCTTCATCTTTGAGTCCATGAATCTGCATTTGTCTGCGCTGAAAAAGCAAAAGCAATCATTTAAAACACAAAACACTCTGGACAGAACTCCAGATTCAACAGCCTCCATCAGAACTCGGAGCGATTTTTAAAATAATAACTGTAAAATACATCATTGACTTTTAAATACTCATGCATAATAGACAATTATCTTTTATAAAACAGCATCTAAAGTCGAACTTTTTATCTAAGGACAAAATCTTGTGATCTGATAAGAGTTAGAAAAAAGTTTTAACAATAAACCGAACAGATAAAAACAATTTTTTGTGTTTTTTGTGACACTAACCAGATCTTAGCGAGGATGATGCTGGGGTTGAGTGGTGACAACATGTTTGACAGGGCCTCTTTGTACGACTCCTGCCTGATACACAGCTTCAGGTCATCCACCATCATTTTCTGAGAGCCCGACTTCACAATGTCACTTAGAGCTTTCATTTTACCCAGAGCGTCGTTCTAAAACGGCACAAGTTGAAACTTAGAACAACAGAAACACAGGTGAGATACTATTTATTTCTAAATAATAATGATGAATTTACCTGTCTGGTTAAAAGCTTGATGTGATAGATGTTTCCCCTGCAGTAAGCCTCCAAAATCAGGCCGAAGCGCAAACTCACAGACGCCACGTGAATCTCTGATCTACAACAAATGCAAAGTCAAACAAAATCCTGCCTGTAGATAATTTTGTTTTTATTACTATTAAAAGACAGGATCCCACCTGAGATGCCAGAACAGGAAGTGTCCTATCCTCCTGTTGGACAACGCCCTCTCTAGCAGGAAAGTGGTGAGGTCACAGTCCAAGTAGGATTCATACTTCAATACCTGAACCAGCTGGATTAAATACTGCAGCAACTCATCATCACTGTGTGAAGAGGAAAAGGTGTGAAGTCAATAAAAAAACTTGTCAGAGCTATAGAAAGCTAAATATGATCGTGTGTCATACCTGAGTTTTCTGAGGCATCTGATGGTGAAGGACCGGACCGCCGGGTCGGGGAAGCTGTAGTCCAAGAGCTCCAAGGCGTGGATGGCAGGAAGGTCGGGCCAATGTTTCAGTAAACTCACCATCTAAAAATCATAGGACCACCGTGGAAACAGTCAGAAGCAATCTTCAGTTGATTACAACTTCACAAGAACTTCAGAGTAATCTGGTTCTAGCTTTTTATTGTTTGTTTTATTGTAGAGCGTAATCAACCAGGACTCTGAAGCAAAACTAGTTCACTATTAAATTTTTTTTCAGGTGTTGGATAACTAGATGCTAAATTGAAATTTACTCTTGAAAGCCCAGGTACATGTAAAGATAAAAAATGTATGACTCCGTATTTAAACTACACATTCTCCTCTCATCACTGAGGTCCTCCATCCACATGACAGAGAGGAATACAAAAATGACTCAATCTGCAACTGAAAATATGGATGGAGGACCTCAGTTTAGCTTATTAGTTTGTCGCGCTAGCGCCGAGCTAATACATATAAGGCAATATAGCACTAGCACAAAGGCTAACAGGCTAAGCTGAGGTTCTTCTTCCATGAAGCAGCTCTGTTGTCCTCCATCCATATTTTCAGTTACAGGCTGAGTCATTTCTACCTTCTCCTCTCTGTCAACGCTCTCTGGTTTCATTTAAAAGAGTCGATCGTCAGATATTGTCCAAGATTAACCTTCAGGGTGGATATAGCTCGCTATCAGCCTCACACCGAGGACCTATCCACGTCATCATTTACCCAGAATGCTTTGTGTGTAAATAAAATGGCTCCGTCTGTGTTAAAATATATTTTTAAATATTTACAAAACTAAACAGCCTACAGTATTTTTACAGTCTTTATTTTACAGTTAAAATATATGTTTATAAAATAAAGTCTAATGTTACAACTAATCAGGGATCCCTTTAAAGCCTGAGGTGTCTGTTAAACAGAGGAACCTGACAAAAATAAAAGTGACAGAAAAAACTTTCTTGAAGAATAACATAAGAAGTTAATGAAGCACTACAGTTTGAATTGCAGGGAAAAATGTGAATACTGCTCTGATTTAGGAAGACTTGATAGAAGAGATGTGGGGCAGAAACCTTGTTTTTWAAAAAATGGGGGTACGGTGTCTTATTTACAATTGAATAAATTATAAGATCACAAGTTCTTTCTGACACTGTTCATTAGTTAACCATTATTACAACCACAGACAGCTGTCCAGTTGAGTTGATTTATGCAAAAACATGACAATTATGAAAAACGGATGAATGATATTTTTGCAGGGATGTGTCACATTAAGCCTTCCAACAGAGACAAGAATATTGCGACACGTAACTTTTTTTTGTGCAGGGTTTCTCAGTGTTCTGATGATGAAAGAACAACTGAAAACACCTGATCCAAAACCTGAATTCTGTAAATAATCTGATTTACAGCAGTTTGAATAATCAGGTTTTTTACAAGAAAGCCACACATTCTCATGATGTGTGGCTTGTGTATGTGTATGATCAAAACCTGGCACTTAGTTTAAACATATTTTCTAATTTTCTCTGGAAATCATAATTATTTTGTGAATTAACGTTTTTAGCTATAATTATTGCACCATGAAAATCACTTTCTGATGATACTGTATGTAGGTTATTGTAAAATTTCTTAATTTTTAGATGGATTGCCATTAAATTTGCACAATGTTGCATATTTGTCCAGAAATAAAACCTCTCTGATTTTAATGCTGCCATGATCAGTATTAAGACACCGGTTTTTCAGTGAAAAAAAAATTGTAGTTATTAAATTTATCATTCAAAAAAACCCTATTATTTGTTCTCTATGTTAGAAGCTAAAATCTAAACATGCAGGTTAATGAAATAATGAGTGTAATAAACGTTTTTATTTCCAGGCAGTTAGCCGACTTCATCTGATATGAAACATGCAATAAGTTGTTTCTCCATACCTGAACTGCATCCTCTCGCTTGTTCCACTTAGTGATGAGGAGCAGCTTGGATAAACTTTCAGGGTAAAAGTCACGGACGACTGTGCGAAGCTTCCACAGGAGCTCCTTCTCATCCTCAAAGAACTCGGTGTAATTTTTGTTATCCATAATTTCTTTTAGTTTCATGTGCTACAAACAAAACAGTAGTGCATAAGAAACAGCTTAAATGTTGTTTTCTATTTTTTAAATAACGTGATGCGGCAGTAATACCTCCTCTTTAGTGGCGGAGACTGTCTCACCGTTCCTCTCCATGTCAATGAGCTGAAAAACAGATATGCGTTTAACCAATAGGGATCAGTGTTTCACCGTTCAGCCTAATAAAACTTCTCAGGAGAGGGTACCTTGTCGAGTGGAGGGTAATAGAGAGGGTGTGGCCGAATGTTGGGGAAGCGAATGAGAAGCCCGGCAGCGCTGTCCACATTGGGGTTCTTCTCTACTGTTCCCATTGGATTCAACAGGTCGCTTTTGTCATCTATGAATAAAAATAAAAAAAGGCATGTGAAATGTTTTCTCTGAGGTTTTGTTCACAAAATGAAGAAACGGAAAAAACACCCAGATATCTTATCTGTCAATCAACTATGCTTGTGAAACTGACAAACAACAGGGTCCTCCAACAGCTTAGGAATCTATCTTGAGCATTGATAACCACAAAATATGTGAGTATGTGGGGTTTTGTTGGCACCAAATGTCTCTTTGGGTATTTTGGACAGGAGTGTTTAAGTGTAGGAGTTGTGGGGGATGCTGTGAACGAGTGAAGAGGAGAAAAATGTATTAAGAAAAAGAGGAGGGAAATACCAGGTACAGATGGCCACGTGGATAAGAGGAACTCTCCTGTCTTCAGCTGGTCCTTGTAGTCAAACACCATGGTGTTCACCCAGGCTATTGGACAGTCCTGAGAACATGAACAGAACAACACTAAGGACTTTTAAACAAAACAATCTGCAAACTATAGAATCTCAAATTGTATTTGACTCCTAAGTGTCTATTTCTCAACTCATCATTTCCATTCAGAGCTGGATAAAACAGAGATAGAGGTTAAGATGTTTTACTAAATAAAGTTTTATGAAATCTTAGCATTTATATTTTCAGTTTGTTTCCCATTAAAGGTGACATATTTCACATCTTAGGAAAAGTAAAACGTACCAACTTGTCAAACACTTTTTTTCCTTCAGTGCTGCTTAAAAAGAACTAAATTCTTGGAAGTGGGTAGAAAAATAGCATAATGAATTCAGTCTTATGAAAACAACAGGGACGTAGCTGCACCCAGTTTTAAACACAGAGGCACAAACAAGAATGGCTAAAATAGCTCAACTTCTGTCTGCCTCTGTGGCATTTCACTGCAGGACTTCTCTCTTCCGAGCAACAAGAGAGAAGTGGTTCAGAAAAAGAAGAAGTGGACTTGATTCCCTTTAAACACACCTGGGCGCCATGTTTGACAGGTCCGCCCCTAAAACATGGTGCCCGCAGCCGCTGCAACGCTGTCAAAACAGAAGAAGCTGAGACCACAGCTGCAGAACAAAAAAGGGGAATTTGTTTTTCATTGAGCGGTAAGAGGAGGTTCTGTAAGGTTTACAGAAGTCCCACAGAGTAGGACTAGTTCTGGTTTGAAAAAAACTTATCTTAAAACAGGAAATACAGTAGGAAAAGGGCAAAACCCTTGGATCGGATTATGTAATATTTTACGCGTAATTACATGCAATAATAAAATTTGATACAAAGCAACACCTGCAGATAATTATGTTTATGTTTTGACACGTGCTTAAAGCTAAATGTCCACAAATGTTCAGAAATGTTAAATTTTGTGCCTCCTTGTCAGTTTTGAAGATGAGTTTAGAATAAAAGGTTGCACTGAAACCCTTTTAGTTACAAAGTTAAACCACAGAAACAACAAAACTAACACAAATGAAAGAATGTTAAAGAATACACGCAGCACATCGTCTGACTGTACTGATTTAGAAAAAAATACAAACATTGTCCAACTGAATTTGGCTAACTTTGCACTATATATAAATAAAGAATATAAATAAAGACAAATTTCATTAACACTTAAAAACTAAAAAACTTAAAATGAAAACAAGAATTTCAAATCAATAGTTTGTTTTTTGAATATTCATAAAGTAATTTAAATGAGTTTATATGTAAATGAATTCAAACACAATGCTTGATAAAAGATACCAAACAGTTACAAAATGTATCTTGTAAAACACAATGTTAGAAATATTTAACTTTACCCATAATGCATTTTTTGCGGAAAAGGCTTTAAAAAAACACTATTGTTTTGTAACAGTAACAATACTTAAATGTAATAATTATGAACTCTTTACACTTGAGTTAATATTTATATATTTACCACTAAAGTATTTCCACAATAAGTACTTTCTTTTAAGCCTTACTTTGAGTCAGTAATACTCATTTCACAAAACAAAAAAATGTTTGATTCATTTTCTCTAATGAGAAATTATGCATCTGCAATAATTCCTCTCTGACAGTGTGTGTTTCTATGCTGATGACACTGTCTTCATTACAGAAAATGTTTTGTTTCCACATGGCTGAATACTAAATTAGAACAAAAAAATGTCTTAAATAAAACAACATTTCTGCTCTACATCTCACTATCATCTTATACAACTGAGAAAAAAATTAAAACATGCATTGGAAATCTGCCTTTTTAAAATAGAATAGAATAAATTGTAGCAAATGTATTTCTTTAAAATAAAATATATTTTCATGATGAATAGGGAAATACTATAATTTCCTTAGTTTTATTCTACATATCCTATGTGTCATAATTACTGTCAATAAATAGAAATCTGAAAAAAAATATGTACTTGAAGTTCATAACGTTGTTCAGCATCAATGCTGTTTGCACATTTTGCACATAAAACAGTTCAAATACAATTTAACCTCTGATTATCTAATTCTGGTCCAATTCATAAATAAAGTCACAACTGCAAAACAAATTAGAGCAAACTTCATTCTCCACATATCTCGATCTGTGTCGTAATCTCAAAATCTAGTGTTTGCAAGACAAAGTTTCACATAGCTTCAGCTAAAGATAGCCGTCTAATAAAAAGTCCCCCCTCTGAAAAACGCATCCTCTGTAACGTTTTACAACCTAAACCTGACTCTTCCACACGTAATGCAATAAACTGAAAAGCAAAACCTTTTGGTGCATGTAATGTCAACTGTGAGTATGAATTTATAATTCCTTGTAAATGTTTGCCAGTTCCTTCCTTCCTTCCTTGGACTAATATGTAGATAAAAGACATGAAAACGGATGAAATGTTAACCACAGCTTCTGCCACTGAACACTTGCACAGCCAGCAACAAACACCCGCAGAGAGCACAGTGACTTACACTGCACAGTGGAGAGGAAACAGTGTGGGGGTGAGGGTTGTTTGTGCCTGTTAACAAATACACACCCACCATCTTGAGCACCTCTTCTCTCTGCTACAACTCATACTTTTGAGGTCACCCGCCCCCAACTCATAAAAAAAAAAACTCACTGCTTTCTTATTTTTCTTCTTCGTGCCGCGGGGTTTCTTGGCCTTCTCAATGACAGCATAGAGGGCAAAGCACAGGCGGCTCATGCGGGGCAGGTCGGACACGTTTATGTCAAACTCCAGCTTCTGGTCCCACAGCGGCTCGGAGCACACCGTCACCTCGGAGCTCGTCACCACCTTACAGAGCGGCTCGCTGCCATGGAACAGGCCCGCCTGCACCACGAGCTGCAAGACGGGAGCAAAACATATCATACACAGCGAGCGGTGATTAGACATGACATGTGGTTTTGGATGCTGAAAAGTTTAGCACTAGCGTGAGGGTGATCGTTTGTGGAAGGATTAGAGACTTTGCAGAGAGATGATTCAGAGCTTCCTGTGTCACTCTGAGTCAAAGGGTCTACACATTCTGAAAGTCAACAAGTTGCAATAGGTTTTAGGAGCCCTTCAGGGACAGTATAATGAACACCTGCAAGAGTCATTATTTGATATTGTACAACCCCAGTACGTTGAGTAGAGCTACATGAACTGATTTTTTTTGAACAGGGTGGAATGATTATACAACTTTAACTATGGAGTTCTTGTCTAATATTTGGATGAATACTTGACCAGTCKTCTTGGCAAAATTGGTAGAGTTTATTTAAACTGGTTGACTTTTAAGCATAATCTTCAACTTTTCAACAGTGTTAGACTGCTTTCATTCAGGAATCACTTCTGATGTGGGATTATTGTCCTGTTGGAACACCCAGTTGTGTAAGTTTCATCTGTCCAGCTGTTGATTTAAAGTGAAGTTAAAGACATTAGTCTATCCAGTACCACTTGCAGCCCCACAGCATGATGCTACCACCGCCATGCTTGACAGTTAGTAAAGTGTTCTTAGGTTTGAAAGTCCCACCTTGGCTCCTGCAAACATTATTTTTGTCATTTTAGTCAAATAATCTTGTCTTGTCTGACAAAAGAATGGCTCAAATAAACCATTAAGCCTAAAATTAATTACATTTATACCCATGATGAGTGTATGTAAACAAATGAACACAAACTGTATGAATGTCTATATATTTATTAAATCTATGTGAAGCTCCATGTGTGTTTTCAAAGTTTTGGCATTCAATTGGGGACAGAACTGATAGTTGTGTGACAAATTAGCCAAGCTCCAGAAGAACTCTTTGTTATTGTTTTCCTGACGTGGCAAAAGTGAAGAAACAAAAAGTAAACAACAGGATACTTCTACAGCCTGTCATTATTTGCCAGGGAATTTCAGGGAAAACATACACGACCTGCAGACGCATACTAAAAGCACACAACTCACAAACAAGAAAAAGAAGTGCATCTGAGTGCAAGAGAAGGGGAAAGAGCATGAAGTCTGTCTTTTTTCTTAGAATTTAGGCCTCAGAATGAGACATGAAAACCAGATAGGCCCTCCCCACTTCCTGTTTTGAAGTTTTAACCAACTGCCTTGATGAATTATGGGAAACGTGTGGTTAAGACCATGTGACCTCTGTCATTTACATTGTGCGCTCGCCGTTCCTACAACTGAAATTGAGATATTGGTAAACAAGCGAATGCCACATTTCATTGAGCAGCAAAGTGAGAGAAAACCTAAGAGAAAACCGCACCAACCTTCATTCCTTCATCTGCATTGACTCGGCTGCCCTGCAACAGGTGAATGTAGAAGGGCTCATTGATGGACCACAGAGAGGAGGTGTTTTGCTGTTAAAAAAAGGGTGAAAAAAGGGAATTAAAAGGTTTTTCCACACATAAATTTGCATTCATAGCTTTCATTGTGTTGGAGACTAAAGCATGAAAATGTTGCTACAGCTTCCTGTCAGGCAGTTTTAAATACACATTTATTTCCATTTTCAAACAACTTCATTGTTTAAAGGGATCACCGATGAGTTGTAATAGACTTTCTTTGATAAACATGTATTTTAACTGTAAAATAAAGGCTGTAAAAATACTGTAGGCTGTTTAGTTTTGTAAATGTTAAAAATATATTTTAACACGGACGGAGCCATTTTATTTACATGCAAAGCATTCTGGGTAAATGATGACGTGGATAGGTCCTCGGTGTGAGCGAGCTATATCCACCCTGAAGGTTAATCTTGGACAATATCTGATGATCGACTCTTTTAAATGAAACCAGAGAGCGTTGACAGAGAGGAGAAGGTAGAAATGACTCAGCCTGTAACTGAAAATATGGATGGAGGACAACAGAGCTGCTTCATGGAAGAAGAACCTCAGCTTAGCCTGTTAGCCTTTGTTCTAGCACCGACACTGCCTTGCCTTATATGTATTAGCTCAGCGCTAGCGTGACAAAYAAGCTAAACTGAGGTCCTCCATCCATATTTTCAGTTGCAGRYTGAGTCATTTTTGYGTTCCCCTCTCTGTCATGTGGATGGAGGACCTCAGTGATGAGAGGAGAATGTGTAGCGCTGAGCTAATACATACATATGGTGATAGCATCTGGGCTAACGCTAAAGCTAACAGGCTAAGGTGAGGTTCTTCTTCCATGAAGCAGCTGTTTTCCTCCATCCATATTTTCAGTTACAGGCTGAGTCATTTCTACMTTCTCCTCTCTGTCAACGCTCTCTGGTTTCATTTAAAAGAGCGAATCGTCAGATATTGTCCAAGATTAAACTTCAGGGTGGATATAGCTCGCTATCAGCCTCGCACCAATGACCTATCCATGTCATCATTTACCCAGAATGCTTTGCGTGTAAATAAAATGGCCCCGTCCGTGTAATATATTTTTAAACTTTTAGTTTAAAAATGATAAAACCTGAACTTCCTACAGTATTTTTACAGTCTTTATTTTACAGTTAAAATATATGTTTATCAAATAAAGTCTAATGTTACAACTAATCGTGGATCCCTTTAAAGTTAAATGTGTAAACGATCAACATCGTCCTGCACTGCATTTTTCTAAACGTGCCAAAGTCTGTGAGCTTGTTTAATAAAAGACGTCCTTTCACCTTCTTCATGGGCAGAGGCGGGGGTCTGGACAGGGAGCGAGTCTTGCACGCCTGGCTGCACACTCTGCCCTGCTCCTCCTGATATTTGCTGATGGTGGAGTGGTGCACCATAATGAGCTGAGGGTTCTGGCCATTCCTCAAGCACGAGAAAACGTACTGTGGAGGGAAACAGACAACAAGAATAAGAATATTTTAGTTTGTTCGTTCACCGATGCACCCATCAGTCACCCCCAGCCCGACCCCCACCCTTCCCACACACAGTGTCCCAGCAGGGCTGGATAACTCCTGAAGGATGTTCATTTGCTGAAGGTTAATGCAGCCCAAATCTCATTACATGTAGATGGATGCAGCTCCTCTCTGCAGGGCTGCTAGACAGATATGAGTCACCCCTGCAGGTAGCTGCAGTTTCAAAATTAACAGCGGAGACTCCTGCCACCAAAATCTCACCTCACCCCACTTCTGATCTGACAGCAGTCTCGGCTAACTCGGACCACCTGTGTCAGGTGCAATTCAAAAAACACAAAGCGAGTGGCGAAAAAAAGTGCTCTCAGTGTCTGTTTCCTTAAAGTTACAGCTTTTATCCAGAAATGAAAGTGATTTTATTATTTTGCGTGACAATTCTTGACACAACACTGCAGTTTTGTTTTGTAAAAAAAATGTAGTGAAGACAGGAGGAATGGATGACATTTTATAATAACGTGTGAAGGCATGAAACATGGCACAGCTGAGGATCCGTACGGGGCGTTATGTGTTCGAGAGAAACATGAATGATGGAGGCCACTAGAAGCTCTGTGAGACTTTTTTTTCATGGCTAGCGCAGCATGACTGTTGGATAAATTACTGTGACATCTGCGCAGGCCKTCTCTCCGCTGCGACTCTACGAGGCTCGGGAGGGTAAAACTAATGCAGCGAATTAAAAAATAAATAAATATCACAAAGAAGCAGCTTTAGTGTGAAACAAAAAATGTATTTAAAAATAGCAGCTGAGACATGACAGCAAACCCTAAAATAACAACAAAGCTAGATGTGAAAAGATGATCACTTTGTGTTTCCTGGGTTTTTTTATATTTATTGCTAAGTTTATTCTAATATTGTTGCTTGTTTCCATCGAACTAAAACAGCTGCTGTCTCCTTAAGGACCCCCCCCCCCCCCACTCACAGGAGACCCTCTCTGCTCTGATTGATCATTTCATTGTTGAAAAATGGCATAATGCAAAACAGCCGCTCGTTCTCAGTCAAGCTGAACTCACCACCAGGCAGGCATTATGTGAGTTTATTTCACAACGATATTCAGGAAGAATGGATGGAAGAGAGAGAACTCTTCCTGCAACCAACAGGTGGAAAAAAAACACAATAAAATTGATTTATAACACCAAAAACAATGTTTAAAATAAATCTTTAGGAGCATAGTGAGGTCTTGAAATATTAATAGCGCTTCAAGCTACTGTTACTACAGAGCATTAGCAAACAAAATATACTTTGTTGCTGATATTTGTTATAAAGTTGCAGAAATTCTTCAGTTAATTAAAAGACAAGCTGGTGTCTATGAAGCTGGAGGAGGTGGAGAAGTCGTCTCTTGTGGCTGCAGCTGAAAGTGATGCAGCTTCACCTAAAGCCTCAGGTTGGAGAAAAGGAGGGTGGTTTATCTGGAACATTATTCAAAATCAATATATCTGTGTAACATAAACAGGCTGATTAAACTCTGATGTTGGAACAGATTAGAGCTATAGATAACTAAAAGAAAATATGTAAAGATAAGATAACTCTCAAATATACTTAGCTGGGACTATGGTCTTGACATTAAAAGAACAAAAATAAACAATAAATTCAGATTTCTGGGTGGGGCTAAACCCCCAGAGGTCCATATTATTCATTTTTAATAAAATCCTTCTTTCTTTGAAAAGCAGAGCCACCTCAGAGCCTGAGCCTTCATCTCATTTAAGAGTTGTCTCTGTCCTAAAACTCATAAATAATAAAATTAAAAAAAACTCACTCGTGTCACTTTAGGTTCTAAAGGGTGGCAGATGTTGCTGCTTAATGAAACATCTGGTTGTAATTGTTTAAATTGGTGACAGCTTTTGTTTTGTCTGCAGTTTAACTGCCTGATTTCCAGGCTGAATTTTAACCTGATGTTGATTTTTTTGTTAAACATGTATCCAAAGAAAACAAATAAATYGTTTTTTTAAAGTAAATTATGTTTCCATATTTACCATGTTCAAATTCCATTTTTTCAGCCTCATATTTTCCACTTTGTTATCCACTGTTGAGCCATTTTTGCATAAAAACAAAAATTATTGGACTTAGAACTACCTTTTTTTTTTTTTTTTGCTCAATAGTTTTTTTATGGTCAAACAAACTTTAGAAAAAGGCCCAAATCTCAAAAGAAATGAAAAAAAAAAAAAGTCAAATTAAAAATGCTTGTTAAGGTAATGAACATTTATAAGATTTTATTCAAAAGTATTTTGCCTAAAACACTGATTTTCACAACAAAAAATGATCTGTGTTCTTTATTTCACTTGACAAAATYTTTTGTCAACCCCAGTGGTACATGATGCAAGAGTAGTCATCATGGTGACTGTGTTCATTTTTCATTCATAATCAGTAAAAAAAACTGCTTTCATTGATGGAAGACTCTGAAAACGCTCATGTTTTTTTATATTTATCTAGATTTGGAGAATACTTTAGGAACCTCGTGTTTATATAAGAGGTAGCATTTATTTGACTCACTTTGAACTGGCTCAGCGGGTGGTTCCCATAGAGGAACTCCAACCTCCCGTGGACCTGTAGGGTGTAGTCCTCAGGCTCCTGCCRCATGGAGCGAAAAACGGTGGCCCTCTTTTTCAGGGCGCTCTTCATCAGAGCCACCGGGAGGTCCTGAGGGTCCTGCTGCAGCATAAAGCTTTCCTACAAGAAGCACACACAGTGAAACGTAAGCAAAACGTGTCCTTAGGGTCGTGTGATGTTTTGAAAGTAAGGTTTTATACAATAGGAGGGGGATTTCCCAAGGTGCTCAGAGTAAGTTTAAATCATCCTCCACAATAACTATACACAGGGTTGAATCACAGTTTCTTTTCCAATCAAAGCTCTCTGCTCTCTTTGTAGGCTTCACTGCAGCTACCTACTTCAGCTGTGAAATTCACAACTCGACAGCATGACTCATCACAACTGCAACAGACAGGCGACTCACATCGCAGGCCTCGAACTTGACGTTGACGAAGAGCTTCTTGGCGTTCTTGGCCTTTGTGCCGCCGTGCACCGGAGGGGAGCAGCACGGCTCCAGGTCGCAAGGGAAGCTGTACTCCATCCACCGCTGCCACGGCAAACTCTGTCGCTCCTGAGACATCTCTTCACAGAACGTGCGCATCTTGCTGCGAAACTCGTCCACCTCGTGGTTCTTCTGGGCTTCGAACTCATGCAGACCTGACAATTCATGGAAGGAATTGATTTAAATGACATATACATTTACATACATATATATATATACATAAATACATACATACATACATATATATAAATATACATATACATATGTATATATATGTTTATATACATATGTAACCACAGGTTGGAGCGCCCTCTGGTGGACGCACCGATACTACAGCATTATTTTACTTAGAAGAAGNCTTCTTATCTGAAAGTAAAACTAATTTTATGGTGTTAAGCTAGGGATGGACATAACACTAAACTAAACGTGCATGGCGTTGAAACTGAAAGAGTAACTGAAACAAAATTTTAGGGAATAATGGATAAAAAGCTCTCTTGGAAGCCACATATAGAATCTGTCAGACCAAAAATATAAAAATTGGTTGCCATTATTTATAAAACCTAAAAATTGTTAAGTAAAAGTTGTCTGCATACATTTTATTTTTCACTTGTAGTTCCATATAAATCCTATTGTGCAGAGGTTTGGGGTAATGTATAAAAAAAACTAATGTAGACCCAATAAATAATCTTCAGAAAAGAGCAATTAGATTTTAAAATAATGCTGTTTTTTATTCTACAAATCCATTATTCACAAGGGTTTTTGCTTAAAATGTAGTGATATAGTTTATTAAAGAACACTGAAAATATTATATGAAGTTAGAAACAATAGTCRTCTTGCTGGTATTCAAAGGCATTTTAAGTTATGGGAAAATAAATATTAAAACGGTAAATGGTTTGAACTTATATAATGCCTTATTAAGACCATATGGACCCCAAAGCTCTTTACCCTTCAATCATTCATACATTCACACACTGATGGTATAATCAAAATAATCATAATCTAAGTTGTTATTTTCTTAAAGTAGGTAAGGTCTGAACAAATGTCAAATTCAGACGAGTTTCAAATTCGGTGTTAAATTGTTGAATAATTTGAGTGAGAAAAATGAAGTTGACGCTTTTTTGAGTTTTAGAAAGAAGTTAAAAAGGGGAAGACTCTCACCTACTACCACACCAAATTTTAGCCTCATATCTTTTGTTGTGTTTTCTAAGGTCACTTAGCTGTGGCGGCCATCTTGAACAGGGTAACTTACAAAAATGATTTGGTAGATGTACGTACATCTAATGAAAACCTTTTGCAAATTTCATTAAAAACTGTTCAGTAATTCCCGAGACAAACAAAGAGGCGCATGCAGGTGGAAAAACTTAGCTAATGTGAGCAATCTTTTTTAATAAAATGGACATTTACAGAGTGCTAAAACATGACTGCATCGAGTCATCTTGTGCCAACCTTTATAGAAAATATAAAATCTAGTCAAACAGGTGTGATTTGGTGCATTTAAATGGGTTGTTTCCTTGATAAAAGCAGGTTTTTCAGAGGGGATGGAGAATAGAGATGTCGCATTTATGTGAAGGACCCTGAAAAACAGTGACAGGTGGATGTCAGTGTGCAGCTTTTAATGAGCTCCAAACATTAACAAACCAAGGTCTTCGTGCTTTTGTTTAAGAAAATAGATTTTCTCTTTCTGTAAATTTCTGCAGCACCTTTTATCTTCCTGATTAGTTGGATGAAAGCTTTATGCCAGCGTGTTACTTGTTGATGTCATTATGACAAACAGAAAAAAAAATGCTGAACTTGGTGTGCTGTGTCATTTCAGGACAAGCCTTTTCTGTTGGTTATGAAACTTTGCATTTTTTTTCATGTTCGCTAAAATTGAAAGTTTATTACAGCATTAGATATACTATTCAGTTGTTTTCTTAACTCCGTATTGCACTTGAGCATTGCAGATCATTCTGAACACAACAGGGATGAGCTGCTCTGAAATTTAAAAAATAAAATAAAGCTGGACTTGCATTTTCTTCATCTCTCAGCTTCCAGCAAAAACTACCAYAATCCATAAAGGAAACACACAACAGATGAACCATATGAAAGATGGATGCTCCTGACCTTTTCCAATCAGCAGGCTGATCTGAGTGTTGGTGATTTTCTCCCCCCGGTCTCCCTCCCTGGCCACCAGTCTCAGGACGCACATGAAGGGCCGTACGTCGCTGATCCGCCTCGACTCCTCCTCCAGTTCCTCCCTCTCGGCCGTCTCGTTGATGCAGGTGAAGACGTACCCGTCGGGGTCACCAAGTCCACTGTACAGGGCCTCACTTCGGGCATTTTTCCAAACCATCTACAAACAAAAGACACTGTTCACACTGCAGAGGAAATTTACGCTAAAAAAAGAAAGCACATTTTAAAAGATGTCACGATCAACAGTTTTGTTCTCTCTAATCTACCTTGTACATGTAGGTGGAGCTGCAGGTTTCCAATTTAACAATATTAGCTTTATGGCTAGCAGAGCTGTGAATACCGTTCAGCCCTTTATAGCTGGAGAGAGAGGAAGCGAAATAGGCAGTTAAAGGCTCAGTAGCGATTTCCTCTCCGGTTACATAATATTTCATACCAGAAATATTTAATGGGACAGCTCCAAAATGTGAGAGGAATTTGCTGATAGACACGGTGTAGATTGAGCTCAACTCAATCTAAGATCCGACACTGTAGAAAACTGTGCCGAGTAGGGTTGGGTAAAATTGTGTGCAATTAATTATCAGAAAAAATGTCAATGATTAATATTTATAATAAATAATAATAAACTTTATTTATATAGCACCTTCCAGCTCTCGCGTTTTACATTTGGTTCTCACCGCATTACAATGCCATCCCAAACGCCCTGTTGGCCTTTTCTGGACTGCATCCGATATTAGTGTTTTTTCATGATTCTTAGGTACTCTAWAGAACGTAACCCCTGTGAAAATTGGGGCTTCACTGTAACGATAACCCTAACCCTACGGACTTGTTTAATCACCTGAAACATGACATAAACMAGGGTACAAAGAAAGCCAGAAAAGGTGGACCAATGCCACAGCGTCACATGCAAGTGCATTTCTCATGTATTGTATCACATTAATCATCTAAAATCCACAATTTATGATGAAACATTTTTTGCCAATATAGCCCAACCCTAGTGCCGAGCACACACTCTAAAAATGAAATGTTGGATTTACTTAACCATGTTATGTTACCTGGTTCCACTTGACTGAGTTGAGTAAATTCAAAGCAACATGCTCATGTTCTTTGGCTAAAAAACTGGAATATTGCTTTGAATTTACTCAACTCAGTTAAGTGGAACCAGGTAACATAACATGGTTAAGTAAATCCAACATTTCATTTTTGACAGTGCAGATTGAAGACCTGCGTACCCTCTGTCGCCCAAACCTTTTCTGAAACCAATTCATCCACCTCACACTGAACCGAGTATTTCACACTTCTCATATTACTTGTCCAACAGTAGTACAAGAAATAGGGTAGTGCCATTCCACACACAGCTTTGGGATCGCTGTAAGACTTGATGACATAGCTGGTTTCTTGCTCAAAATAAAATCCAGAATAAGACTACTGACCTTACAGGGTAAAAAAAAAAAAACTAAAAGGGAAAAGAAGAGTACAATGAGCTAGATATAAGAAGCGTGGGAAGATTTTCATTTTGACAGCCTTAATTCAAGCAGCCACAGAAAGATTTAAGAGAAACCACTGCTCGAAAGGGTTTAACTTGTATTAGCAAAACAAATATTAAAATAAGTCTTATCAAGGTTTACCAGCTGTGTCAGTTAAACACAAGACTATATTGTGAATGGTAGAATWTCGATGTGTCTTTTGTGAGTACATTTCCCTAAAACTCCCACCAACACTGCACTCGGAACAATCTGCCCGGCTTCGAGGAGAGTCATTACTGAAATCAAACAGCATGGAGGGGCAGAAGTGTTGGCCTGCTGGCACTTCACAGCAGATCTGCTTCAGCTGAGGATGATACAGCTCACTGAACGACGCAGAGCTGCATGAGCCCCATCCTCCAGTAATCGCATCCTGACCGGCCTGGATGGTTTAAACCTCGAGCAGGTTTCAATTCATTTAAGGAAATATTACGTAACTTGTTCAGAGACATCTGCCAGTTTTGTGAGGAGACGTGTACCTTTTTGATGTTTCGGATGGTTTCGTTCCGAGACACAGGGAATTTGAGGAAGATCCCGGTCGGCAACAGGAAGTCCATGTCGATCTCCTGGTCCCCCTCCTTCTCCCATTCCTCCTGCATCCCATACTTCCCCGGGGGCATGGTGATGGCCTCTCATTTACTGTCAGCTCCCCTCGCTGCTGCTGCTGATCGGAACACACCAGCCCAATGAGAGGAAGCACAGCCGGGGGGTTAGCAGGTTCTCAGTTTATACATCTTGTACAGTCAGGCTCTGTTTGGATGAAGCATTTGTATATGAATGAATGCTGTGGACTGGCAATAAAACTTTGCAACCAGTTTCTAACAGTTTGACTCCYAAACAGTCGATATTCTGTCAGGAATAAAAGCTCAAGGGTCACATGAGGTGAAAAACCTCACAAAGAAACTTCAGATGGCTGATTTCTACTCGCTGCATCAACTATAAAACGTTTTAAATCTGCTTCTGCTTCTTCCAGTCTGCCTGAGCAGCTTCGCCTGGTAATAATAGGTGAAGGTTTTTTTTATAATAAATTTAAAAAACCTTTTTTTTTTTCACTTCTCGGCCCTGCAGGTTCTGGAGGAAACGTGTTGAGCTGCTTTYCCTTCAGTTTCATGACAGATGAAAGCCGACTTTATTAAAACACACCAGAGTGATTCTCCCGCGTGAAGTGAATATATAATAGTCTCGTGTTGAAGATGGCACAAAGTGTCACGAGCGTAAATAAAAGAAAACCCGACATTTAGCGGGGCTTCTGACTCAGAACAGTTGTGTGTAGTTTATGGTGGCTGAAAAGCTTTGCCAACCTGTTGGCGCACACACATATTGGCTACACACACGCACACACACACACACACACACACCTGCCCGTCAGCTCCACGGTTCGGTCACCTCCTCATGGTTCGGCTCGCAGCTGGAACATCCCGCAGAGAGACCGAGCCCGCTGTCCGTGCGTTTAGAAGCCCACCTGCTCGGGCTGACTCTCTGGCCGCCTCGCTGTCATTTCACGCCGCGACGCTCCCGCTGCTGCCGCACTGATGAGCGCGCGCGCGCGAGCGAGCGGCAGCCCCGAACGTGAGCGCGCCGCAGCCTCAAGGGACCGTCCGCAAAGTGTCGAGCTCGCGCAAAAGTGGGACAGGAAGGAGAGTGGTCCTCCATCTTCCGTTTTTCTGCTACTTTTATTTGTAATACAATTTAATAATCTTTCCTAMTGATTAAAGTTTGTATTTATGTTCCAAAAGCTTATATGTGTAAAACTGCGTTTTTCTTTTATTTGCTAAGTGCTTAGACAGAAACATATGACCACATGAAAGCCAATCAGGGCCCAAACATTGTCACTTATTGTTTTTATGTAAAATTAAAATCAAGTTTAATATCAAACTAGAGAATTTGCATTTCCTACGAAAATGCAAGGGTGAATGCCTGTTGCGCAAAACGTAAGCTAAAAGCTAAAGATAGCAGTGTCAAGTTGAAAGTAGCACCCAGATGGTGAAATGGAAGTAAAAAATTAAAATTAGTAGGAAAAAACCCCATAAAAATCAGAAAAAGTGATAATTTCAAGTGCAATAGGTAAAACAGCCGAAGTTTTCAGTGACACAGCTAAAGATAGCAGAAACTTGTTGAAAGTAGCACCCAGATGGTGAAATGGAAGTAAAAAATTAAAATTAGTAGGAAAAAACCCCATAAATATAGGAAAAAGTGATAATTTCATGTGTAATAGGTAAAACAGCCGAAGTTTTCAGTGAGACAGCTAAAGGTAGCAGAATAAAGTTGAAAGTAGCACCCAGA